TTTCTGACTTTTTTAATTTTTCTGAGTTTCTTGATGTTTTGATTTTTTTTAATTTAAAATTGATTTAAATCAAAAATATCTGTTATTTCTCCCTTGTATGGAATACTAAAGCTGCTGCTGTCACAACCTGAAAGCTGCAATGATATCTGAGACCTACAAGATATTTGCTGACAAAAAAGAAGTTCATGCAAGAACGAGCCGACAGCGAATAAGTTTTCGCCGACGTTTCATTTTCGGCGGCGGCGGAAAATCGGCGGCTAACACCTCTATCTCAATCGTTTCTGTTGCTGATGTTCCAGTAATACTTTTCACGACTATATATTTTTAGTTACATTTTATATTCATTCAAATTTTTTCGAATAACGAGATATTTCATTTCATTAATTCGACATGTCTCAACGTTCAAACATATAGTCCCTAATAGTACCTTACAGTCCTCTATAGTCCGTTATAGTCCCTTATAGTCAATTATAGTATCTAATAGTCCCTTATAGTACCTTATAGTACCTTATAGTACCATATAGTACCTTGTAGTCAACTATAGTACCTCACAGTATCTTAGAATTAGAATAGAATTCGAATTATTTCACAATTCATTTTTTTGAATTATTCTGTAATTCATTTCCGTCATCCAGTGAGATACCCAAGGCCTTGTCTCTCTGAATTCGTTGTAAAAAAAAACGTACTGAGAAGATTCCACCTTAGACAGAAAGCGACAGTTCTGATCGCGTTTCGAGGGCGAAGTTTATGAATCCTGCAGAAAATCGTCAGATGCCGCAGAGGACGATGTAACGATGGGGTAGCTTGACATTTACTCTTGCCGACAGAGATCAGCTTTATGAAATAGTCAGGCCGAATTTTAAAAGGGTGCCCATCCCCTCCCTTGAGGTTTTTGGATATTGTCACGATTGTCAAGATTTTCAAATGCATTTCTCTACTTCGATGTAGGTACACATACGAATCACCAATTATGATTGCTCCAACTGCCTTTCATTGTCTTGCCCACGTTGACGGTGAAGTTGCAACAGCTTGCGGTGCAACGGAAGCTCAATGTTGTTATACTTATAATTGGATGTATTCAAATATGCCAGAAGAAAAGGTTTTACAAACAACCGGTATACTCTTCTTTCTTTTGTCTCTCATCCCGTGAGTTCTATTTCTGTTTCTGATTAAAGGTCCGAAGTTTTTACACATTTATTTGACTGCACCCAATGATTTACTTGAAAATCTTGTTCAAAAAGCCGACCGTAACGGCTATCGAGCACTTGTTGTTACATGTGATCATTCAACTGATTGTGTTCGAGATCATACGTTACCATTGTTTGTCGAAGCTTCAAAACATCTTGATCCGGAACTGATGAATCGTATAACAATCCCAAATATGAATGTACCTGATATGATCGCAAAACAGAAACACGGTAACGATTCGATAACATGGACAAACATTGAATGGTTAAGAAAACTGACAAAACTGCCAATTATTTGCAAAGGTATACTATCACCGGCTGACGCAGAGTTAGCGGTGAAATATGGTGCAAATGGAATTATTGTCAGGTTAGTGTGTATACACGTACAACTGACTGAATGTACCCCTCGCTATTGTTGTTCAGTAATCATGGTGGTCGACAGATTGACACAGCACCGCCGGCTATTGAATGTCTAGAGGATATTGTCAGCGTTGTTGATGGCCGTATAGAAGGTAGGTT